AACAATTTGGGCACACAGAGAACTCTCCTTGCATTTAAACTTGGACGAGACACCAAAACCTCCAGTTCTGCCTCCTCCTCCTCAGAGTCCCCAGGCACTCCAAGACCATTTCCTTGGTTCTTTGTTTATGGATCACGACTGGATCCTCAGTTTCTGAGACCTCCTGAAGATCCCTCTGCATCTACATTTGCTCCAGCACAGGCTTGGCCCATAAACCACCAACCTAAAAGGTTTTCCACCCAATAATTCCAGCCATAGATGATATAAATCCAAGCTCTAGTGATGGAAAAAAAACCCCAAAGTGCTGAATTTATATTCCTGTGCGTGTTCCCGAGTGCAGAATCGAGGCTCCTGTTCACAAACCTTGTCAGATTTAGCAACTAAAAAAAGCCACGAGGCTCCGAGAGTGGGAAGTGCTGGGAGCAACAGGAGAGAGGGAAAAGCTGGGGGGTGTTTTGAGGATAAATCCCCCCCCCAGGATCAGGAATCCCAACCCCTGAGTGACCAGCACATTAATGCTGCCCGAATAATTAAATAGAAAATAAACCATTAAAATCAAAATGGAGAAGGAGCAGAAATAAATAGAACGCTGGGAATGTTTCCCTGCTTCCCCAAAAAAGGCACATTTGGATTTCTCCAGAGGTTTCAGTGTTTATGGTCGGCTTCAGCAGCCTCTCCTTTTAAATGGAGCGATTCAAGGCAAAATCACCAGAAAAAAAAATGGGCAAAGCCAGTGCCCTGCCCCACTCCAGCTGGGAAAATTTGAGTTGTTTTAAAGGAAATGGCTGAGGATTTCAGGGATTGGGGAAGAAAGAGAGGGAGAGGGTTCATGGAGAGGGTTCAATAATAAAAACACTGAAAGGTTGCCCAAAAGATGAATTAAATTCATAAAACCCGGAGCACAGTGAGACAGGAGCTGTTTGATTCAGATCAGCACATCCTGGAGGGAGTTTTAGGCCTCAGGTTGGAGATGCAGAGCTGGCAGCAATGGGATTTTCCCAAGGTCAGGAATCAACCCCGTGCCTCAGTTTCCCAGCTGATAAACGAAGATTCAGGGTGGTGCAAGGGTGGAAGGTTTGGGTGTCATCAATAAAATTCATAAGGGAGAAAAAATCGAAAACCAACAAAATAATTCACTGAAAATGCCGTTAATTGGAGTGTCTTCATTAGCAGGGTCCTTCCAGGTGCCCACAGGGGCTCTCCCTTCCCAGGCACTCGGGAAAGGGCAGCGAATCCAACCCCACTCCATCCTGTTCTCCCCCTCTCTGCATCACAGCAGCAGCTCAGCTGATCCAGGTGTCCCAACAAAAAAAAAAACAAAAACCGGGCTCTGACAGCTCTGGATGGGGAATTTCCTGCTCAATTTATGATTTTTGTTGTGGCAGTGCCTGCAGGCCCCAGGGATGGAGGGGTCATGGTGAAAAGTGAGAATTGTCCCCGGTTTAAACACACACAGGGAGAGGAAAGGGAACTGAGATCCCCGAAATGTCCCACCTGAGCTGCTCCCGGGTCCCAAAAAGCAGCAATCCTTGCAAAAACCAGCTCAAACATCCCCCTCTGAACACTTCCCAAGTTATTTCTGCCCCCAGCACCCCGGGGGGGGCAGGACTGGGAGGAAAAGCCACAACCAAAGGCAGAATTGCTGGTTCTGGCAGTGGGATCCAAGCCTGGAGCATCCTTTGCTTCCTGAGCTGCATCCCCACAGGTCCTGCCTCCACCTGGAGCTGCACTCAGAGCTCCAACAAGAGCCCAGCTGCTGCTCAGGTGGGGAAAGGAACGCCCCAGATTTCCAGCAGGGATCAGGAAGGGATGTGGGCAATTCCCCGTGGGGAATGCGGCCGTGAAAATTCCAGCTGGAGCTGTGGTGGCTTGGAGCTGAAACAGCAGGGAAAGGCAGGAGGGAAGGGAACACAGCTCTGGGGTTGAGCTGTGTGCAGGGAGGGAGGAGAAGGACGAGCAGACAGGTGACAGGTGGCAGCAGCACAGGTGAACCCCAGCCCTCTGCCAGGGCTTCCCGCGCTGCTCCGGGGCTGGAAAATCAGAAAATCATCCCCCAGCAATTTCTCTTCCAGCCAGACAAGAGATGGGAGCCAGAGATTGGGAAGGACCGAGCAAACAAGCAGCAGATGAGCAGCACAGGCTGCGGGCAAAACGCTGCCTTGGAAAGAACTGGGCTGGGAGATTGGGAGAGGGAGGAGAGGGCAAAAGATGCTGGGGCTGATTACAGAGCGACTCTGCAAAGTTAATTGTTCACCAGATTGGGATCTGGGCCACATCCATCAACAGGCTGCTTCCTGCCATCAGCTTTCCCTGGACAAACAGCAGGAGCCAGTGGATTTAGAGCAGAGCAAACCCAGCAGGGCAAAGCTCTGCCTGGACAGGGTTCAGTGCCAGCAAAGGGCCCTTCTCAAACTCAGCCCTCTCATCGCTGCCCTGCCTGCACAGAGGCAAGCCCAGCCCAGCTGAGCTGAGCTTTTGGGGTGTCAGCACGAGTTACACAGAGCAGAACTCGCTCCAGGCTTGGGATCTGCTCTGAGCTGAGCCAAGCTCCCCCGTCCTGCTGCCTGAAGAAGCTGCCTCAATTTCCCTGAGGATCGAAGGAGAATCTGGGAGGCTCCTACTGAACATAAGCCCTTTTGGAAACTCTTACTCTTCTTGGACATGACTCCAAACACACAGATCCCAGCTTTTCTGGAGATTCTCAGCCCTCCTGGCCCAAACCTCAGCTCTGTGGAAGCCAGAGGAATGTCCCAGGGTTTACAGGGATTGACCAAACATTCATTTCTCTCTAGAAGGCCGGACCAAGGGGATGATGGTCTCAATAAAAACTGCAACGTGGATATTTTAATGTACATGATGAGTGGACACCCAGGGCTCTGCCTGACCAGGTGACAGGACAGGGAGAACGGAGGGATCCCCGCGGATTTGGGAGATCAAAACTCAGCTGTGCTCCCTGTAGCACCCTGAGCCATTTTGCCTCTGTATTTTACCCTGTGCAGAATGCAGCTGCTCTCATCTGCCGGCTCTGGGTGCAGTGCCAGCGAGGGAAGGCAAAAACTGTCCCCTGCAGCACCCTCTGTACCCCAGCCTGTCCCCAAGGGACGAGTGACACTGCCAAGGAATGCAGCAGCTCAAGATTTAAAGCAGCTCGTTTGGAATCCAATAAAAAGCAGCCAAGTGCACTTGAGCCACCTGCAACTACAAATGTGTGACACCATCACTTCCCTCTGTCCCCGTGTCACCAGCACAGCCTCTCTGAAGGGTCCATTCAGGGCTCCACAATGAGCTGCTTCAGTGAAAAGGAGCCTTCACGGCACGGAGATGAGGATTTCAGAGCTCCCCATCCCTGCCAGCATCCCAAAGCTCTGCAGAGCTCAGGGAGCAGAGCCCGGAGAACAAAGCAAGGTCAAGAGTTAACAGATGGGGGAACTCAGACGTGGGGACACGGTGGTGACGTGGCCAAGGCCAGGCAGAATCCGTGGCAAGGCCAAGGACAGGGGGAGATCTCCAGAGCCCTGATTAATTGTAATTTTTTTCTCTCTTTTTCTCTCCATCCCAGCAGGATGAGAGAGGAGGAACTCCCAGGATTGCTGGCGAGGTTGTTCCACTACTCATTTATTAACTGCTCCCATTTGGACGTGGTAGTGATATTTTCCAGCCTGAGTGAGTAAGCCTGGGAACTTGGGAACAAATCTGCAAGCCCTGCCTGGAGCACGGACACCAAAACTTGCTCAGAAATTTTCTGGCATGACAGAGAGTCTGAAAATCGGCAAACTCTGAGCTGGCTGCCTCACACACTGAGGGGGTTCCATGGGTGGGGTGGGCCAGGTGCCCTCCCATTCCTGCCTCTTCCTCCTGGGACTCTTGGGCATCACCTCCCACCTTTTTCTGGGGAGGAAAGGATGAGCTGAGATCTCCGTGCCACCTGTGTGTTCCTGCTGGCACGATGTCCATGACCTAATGGCCACATTCCTGAAGGGAATCTCTTCAGGATCATGGGAACTGCTTTTCCCAGCCTCTGCCCTGTGCTGTCACATCCTCGTGAGGCTGGAAAACAGGACTCTGCTTGCATTCACCACATCTCAGCCCCATGTGCTGGTACATCCCAGATCCACACCCCAAATCTGCCCCACACCACCGAGGAGGGAAGGAATTAATGCTGCTCCCTCTCAGGGCCCTTTCTGACGGCTCCTGCCCTTTCACAAATCTCATCCAGAGGCTCCAACTTTCTGCCTGATGTTTGTTCAAAGCTTTTCCCCCTTCAGGCACCTTCTCCAAGCGCTGCATCACCCATCACATCGCAGCGCTCGTTTCCTTGATGCACAGCACAAAACCCAGCGCCAGCAGCCCCAGGCCTGACCCTGATTCTTTCCTCCTCTCAGAGCTGACGCCACCATTGTGCCAGCACGCTCAGGTTGTTTTCACGGAGAGACGAGGCTGTTAAAGCTTTTCAGGCTGGCCTGGCACGGAGGGGCTGTCTGGGGACAAGGAGGGGGTCACAATCTGGGGCACACCCCCGGGAACTTGTCACAGCAACAGGCAGCGCTGGAGAGATGCAGCTGATTGTGACAGCCGCCAAAAACTGCAGCGCCAGGGGAATGCCGAGCTGCCAGCCCGGGGCAGGGCTCCCTCCCGAGCCCGGGACCCACCGGACACGCCCCGACTGTCACCCCCGGGCACTTCCACACTGGAAGGGTCCCCCCAGACCCCTCACAGCGGGACCCACGCCGGGGTTGCCTATCAAAATCCAATACCGGGGTTGACCTGGGCTCCCTAAAACAGCTTTAGGACCAAACACGCGCAGGAATCTCCAAGGTACGCCCAAGGTACAAACCTGTACCGGGCTGAACCCGCCCTTCTCGTACCTTCAACTTCAGCCCTTCCCTCCCCTCGCACTTTCTGCCCCGCCAGTCCCCAAAGCAGCGGCCGTGACCCCCGGAGGGGCTGGGGAGGGGGCGGGCAGAGCCCCCGGCCCTCGGCGGGGTCACCCCGGCACTCACCGGCCGCCGAGCAGGTCCCTGGTGCCGTGTCCCTTCCTCCTTCCTGCGGGGCAGAGCAGGGGCGGCGCTGCGGGAGCCGCGGGGCCGCTCCGGGAACGGGGCCGGGCTGCGAGCGGAGCGGGACCGGAGCGGGACCGGCACCGGCACCGGCAAAGGTTGGAGCGGTGCCGGAGCACGGGAGAGCTGGAGAGGTGCTGGTGCCGGTGCCGGGGACGTTGGAGCGGAGCCGGTGCCGAGCAGGGGGAAATTGGAGCGGTGCCAGTGCCGGTACCGGGGGAATTGGAGCGGAGTCGGTGCCAGAGTCGGGGGAGTCGGAGCGGAGTCGGTGCCGGAGCCAAGAGAGTCGGAGCGCTGCCGGTGCCGGTACCGGAGCAGCGGGAATCGGAGCGGAGTCGGTGCCGAGGGAATTGAAGCAGCGCCGGTGCCGGTGGAATTGGAGCTGTGCCGGTACCGGAGCAGGGGGGTCGGAGCGGTGCCGGTACCGGAGCAGGGGGGTCAGAGCGGTGCCGGTACCGGAGCAGGGGGGTCGGAGCGGTGCCGGTCCTGGAGCAGGGGGGGTTGGAGCGGTGCCGGTGCCGGTACCGGAGCAGGGGGGTCGGAGCGGTTCCGGTACCGGAACCGGGGCAGTCGCAGCGCAGCCGGGGGCGGTGCGGGCGCGGTGCGGGTCCCGGCGCGGTGCGGGAGCGCTGCCGGCGCTCGGCTCCGTGCGGCGCTGGCTCCTCCCCGCCGCAGCCCCGGGATCAGGAGCCCGCTCGGCCCCGCTGCCCCGGGCAGGAGCCGAGCACGGAGAGCACACAAACACAAACACACACACACAGAGCGATCCCGGCCTCCGCACGAGTCAGGGGAGCTCCCTCCTGCGGCTCTTCCTGCTCCTCCTGCAGGCTCCGGGATGCGTGAGAGCCGGGGCAGCCCGAGGCACCGGGACCCGCAGCCGGGGGGGTTTCAGCCCTCTCGGGGTTGTGGATTTAACAGCGGCTCCACCACCCATCCCAGCTCCTTGTTGTCGTATATTTAGTCAAACATTCTGGGCTCGCCAAAAATAGAGCAGCCATGGAAATAAATCAGGCTGACTGGAGGTGCCAACATTGTCTGCCTGAAAGTAATTAATTTCTTATATCCTCGGCTATATTAATCCTCCACACACCGCCCTGTCTGTCAGCGGAGTTTTTGTCATTAGTGCCGAAATCTGGGGGATGTGCAGGAGGTTTTAGGTGGTGGGGAAGGGCAGGGGGAAACCGGGGCAGGGAAGGCACAAAATCCATCTCCACGGAGTGTGGAGAGTGGGAATGCAGAGAACACAGCAGGGCTGGCGAGGAGGAGGGAAGGGGACACAAGTTCTGCAGGGGAAAACCCTACTGGAGGAAGCATTTAGGGTCTTCTTTGCAGACGTGAATATTCCACCAAAAAGAAAAACCAAAAACCTGTCCAGGAGACACAAATTTGGGCTTCCTCAGTTCTGCTGCTGCCAGAACTCCTTTTCTTTTTTCCCTTTCCAACGTGGGAGTCTCTCTGGACTTGCTGACTCTCATTTCTTATCTTAGAATCACCAGGCAGGCTGGGAGACACTCGAGGAGTGGGGAAGTGCTGCCCAGATGGAGCATCAAATCCGAGCCCCCGTGGAGGGAAGGGATGTTCTAGAAGGATCCATCTCCTCTGGTCCCTTTAGCCTGTCCCAGGGCAGCATCCCTGAGGTCCTGAGCAATGTTTGAGTGCCCTGAGAGTGTGAAAAAACCTTCACCAGCTCTTCAGTGAGAGCAGGAGCTGAACCAGCGGGCTCTGAACTGGGGCTGCCCCTCTAGGAGCAGCTGGGGGGTTCAAAACTGAGGCACAGTGACCTCAGTGACGGGGACGTGGTGGCTTTGCAGCAGGGCTGAGACGCCATCCTTGGTGACACGGGGTGAGCAGCTCCTTTGTCACCTGCACCTGATGGGATTTGCATCCTTGGCACTGCAGGGCTCAGGGAGGAGAAGCAAAGAGGGGCCCAGGGGTGGGGGGTGGTGTCCGTGGTGTGATGTCCGGACTGGGTGTGACACCCAGGGCTGTGTGTGACATTCAGAGCTCTGTGTGACATCCAGGACTGTGTGTGACACCCAGGGCTGGCTGTGACACCCCAGCTGTGACACCCAGGGCTGTGTGTGACACCCAGGGCTATGTGTGACACCCCAGCTGTGACACCCAGGGCTGTGTGTGACACCCCAGCTGTGACACCCCAGCTGTGACACCCAGGGCCGTGTGTGACACCCAAGGCTGTGACACCCAAGGCTGTGTGTCACACCCCGCCTGGCTCCTGGCTCCTGCCCTCCCCTGACCCCTGGTCAATGAGTACCTGCTCGTGTGTTCTGCACAGGCAGCTCCCCGTGAGCGCCCATCACGTTCCCTCCCGGCTGCTGCCTGCAGAATTGGGCACTTTTGGTGTTTTTTTTTTTCCACACCCCAGGCTCTGGCACGGCTCTGACTCCCATATTCACCCGTCTCCTCGGTTTAGAGCAGAGATGTCACCCTGGGGGAGATGTCTCCAACATTTCTGTGTCATTCCCAGCTCAGCGCAGCTCCAACAATGCTGCCACACCTCCCCTGCCACAGCTCCCGGAGCACCTGGCGCTGTAAATCCAGCTTGAAACCGAAAGGAAAAGAGATTCCCAGAAAAAAAAAAAAAAAAACAAAACGGCGAATTAAGGTGAAGGCCCCAGACTGGAACTTCAGAGAAACCATGACGAGAAAGCAAAGGGCAGGAATGTCACAGCAATTTGGGGACAGAGCCACGAGCTCGGTGCTTGTGTCACAGCAGCTGTTCCTCGGTGCAGAACATTCCTCACAAACACAAATTAAAGCCATCAGCGTGCCGGGGATTGCTGTGAAAGAGGAGGATGTGGGGAGGGAAAGCACCCAGCTGCTGCAGCCAGCGGGGATTCCGGGCAGGGAATGCTCAAAGAGCGGAGAGGAGGGGAGGGATGGGGTGTGATGGATGATCCCAGCACGGGGGACACGGGGGACATGGGGGACAGGAGCAGGACACGTCTGAGCGGGGCTGGGGCCGTGACATCCCAGAGCAAAGCGTCCCTTGGCTCTTCTCGTGTGCTGGGGTTGAACTCGGCACCCACCTGAGCCCGCTCTGAGATCCCGGCACTGAATTCTCTCAGCAGAGCCTCGGGGCATTTTCCAAACGTGCCAGGGAAATGCTGAGCAGAGGGCGGCCAAAACTGCTGGGCCTTCTGAGAGTTTTTTTTTTCTAGAATAATTTTGCGTTCTGAGGTTGTTTTTTCTCTTTTTTTGTGGTCACAAACCCTCAGGGAGATGTGGGGGAAATCAAGGGTGAAAAAATGAGAAATTCCTAAACTTCAATTCCTAAAAAAAATGGGAAACTTCAAGACTTTGTGTCGTGGCTGTGATCACCTTGTGCTGGGGGAGACTTTGCCCAGCAAATCCTTCTCTTCCTCCTCCTCCTCCTCCTCCTCCTCCTGGTGAATTCCACACTGGGAATGTGTGGAATCACACAGTTCCCGACCTGTCCCTTTTCTGGGACAGCCAGAGGAGCACTGGGTCTCAGCCCACAGCAATCCCTTTTGATAGAAATTGATTTTTTTTAGGGATACTCGTGCTGTGTTTCCTCACACCGGCTGTCCCCTGTCACCTCCTGCCAGCAGCACCTCGGCCCAGCCGTGCTGGGGAGGAAGAGGAGGGGAGGTGAGGAGGGGAAGGGGCTGGCAGACACCTGGGAGCTGTATCCAGGCAGGAATGGGATGCACATCACCCTGAGTGACAGCTCCGGGCTCCTCCCTGCCTTTGGCACCATCCTGGGATTTCCTCCAGGAACAATCCTGTTTCTTCTCCTTCCCAAACCCAGGGAGAAGTGGCTCCTGTGCTCCACAGGCTGCGGGCAGGGGAAGCTGTAGCTGCAGCATCCTGAGCAGAATTCCAATCACACCCCAGAGGGATTTCCCAGGGCTTCTCCTCTCCAGAACCTTCCCTGCCAGCAAACACCACTGCGGGGACATGAGAGGGACAAAAAGGAGGTGAGCAAACAGCACAACAACCCCAGCCCAGCCTCGGGTCACTGTGAGCCCCTTGTCCCTGTCCCAGGCAGCCCCAGGACAGGGATTTGGGAATTCTGAGTGGCTGGCACGGAGCTGGAGCCCAGCCCTGTGAAGCTGTGCCTGCCCCAGGCTGGCTCCTGGCCAGGCGCATTAAAATCCTCCTCTCCTCCCTCACGTGGAGAGGCCCCGCTGGGGACACTGCAGCCAGGGCTGGGCTTGGGACAGAGGCGACAGAGCCTGGGCAGGGTGGGGGACAGGGACAAACCTGCCTTAGGAGCAGAGCAGAGGTGACAGCAACGTCCAGAAGTGTCACAGCAGGAGGAGCAGCCCTGACACAGCCATGCCGAGCATCCTTTGGTGTAAAAACACCGAATTTTTGGTGTAAGGACACCTAATTTTGGCTGTCAGCTGCTGGCCCCCCATGGAATAGCTGTCCCCAGAGCGAGGGACTCGTCCCACAGTGCACACAGAGAGGCAGGAGCTCACCTGCACCGTGCCCGGGCTGCAGGGACCATCAAACACACCCAGCAGTGCCACACCTGCCCCAGTAAGAACCAGCCGAGAAAAATCCGACCTCTAAACCCAGCTCTACCCAGCAGTGGCCCTGGGGAGAGCTCCAGAGCTGGGATCTGCAGCCCAGGAGAGCCCTGCCAGTGACCAGCAAATGCACAAAGTCGATTAAACCTGACAGCTCTGACCAGGGCTGTGAAGAAACAGCAACAGGAATGAGCCTGGCAGGATGCACAGCTCAGCTCTGGGGTTCTTCTTCACCTCTTTTCTTGCAGCTCAGTTCTGGTGGGTTCTTTTTCACCTGTTTTCCTGCAGCTCAGCTTAGGGGGGGTTAATTTTCACCCATTTCACCTGCAACTCAGCTTTGGGGGGTTTATTTTCACCTGTTTCACCTGCAGCTCAGCTCTGGGGGTTAATTTTCACCTGTTTCACCTGCAGCTCAGCTCTGGGGGTTCATTTTCACCTGTTTCACC